TGACCACTGGTTGTTGATGTTGTTGTTAGTGTTGTTGTGGGTGATGATCAACTAATCATTAATCACGATGTTAATACAGATAGATTGTTTTTAGAGTGAAAATGTCAGAATTGTTGATTTATCAGAAAAAGAACAAAAAAAAAGTTTTTTTTCTTTTTTTCTCCATTTTGATGAACTTTTTTCTCTTTCCTTTTGATTGTTCATTGTAATCAGAATTGAATTAACTGTTACTTTTATCATGATTATCTTTGAATCTTCACTCCCTTGGTAAAAATTTCATGGTTACCCTGAAGATGGAGGAAAATTAATTGTAATGTAAACTTATTATCCATCAACAACAGATTCTGCTTCGTAAGGGAAGTTATCATGAATTTCATGATGGGAGTGGGAACTTGAACAGAGGAGGAAGAAAAAAAATCTCATCTGAATGTTGAACAATCAACTGAATTAGTGAACCATTGATTTGGGAAAAAAAGGGTAATCAGTTTAATTGAGAAGCTTTCAAGTTGTTGTTGTTGATTATCATGAATCTGATTCTGATGCTGGAATCTCATGTTAACCATGATTTGGAATCAATGTCATCTTATTGTAACACGAGAGAGAATTGTAAGTTTATCTGAAGAAAAAATTGAAACATAAGAAGAGCAAAAATTTTCCGAGAAAAGAATTTTTTTCTTCCCTTTTCTCTATCATTTCCATGATAATCTTCATGGTGCATATAAATATATTCGGATTCTATTACTGATTCCATGTAAGCAAAAGTTCATTTGAAAAAAAGGAGAAGAAGAAGAAAAAAATTCGATCAAGACTTTTTTTCTCTCACTGATTCTGTTCAGTTCATGATTAGAATTGATTATAATCAAGATTATTACCACTAACCAGTAATCAAATCAAAAGATTGCTCAAAGTTTACGTAAAGTAATTAAAAAAAACACCAACATGATAAACAAATTAATCGCAATTTAAAGTTATCTTGTTTTCAAGCAAAGTTTATTATGAGCAATTTAAATTCAATTGAAAACAATTGAACGTGTTTACCATGATAAACACCAGTGATAATAATCAAATTTAATTTTAATCGTTTATCAACTTAAAACCTAATCACATAGACACAGAAAACAATCAACCAACAATCAAGAAAACAGGGAAAAGTTTTTCCAGTCAACACTTTCAACCGATTTCATGATTAATGTATTAGCCCACTCGGAGTAATCATTTTCAACTCCCACTTTCAAATTACTTTTCACCCAACAATAACAACAACACCACCACCACCATCTTCAACCTCCCACCCTCATCACCCACCATTATATTAGCAATAACGGTAAATAATATGAATTATTAGCTTCTATTAAAATGCTTATTGGGTTGATTTTTTTTTCTCATTTTATTTCATGTTGATATTTTTTCACCTTCCATCCAAATCTTTATTATAAATCAATGTCAAGATTTTGCTTCTCTTTGAAATTAACTTTCCACCTCTTCCACCATCATTACCACCCTCACAACCACCCACTCGGCCTCAACAACGATTAACCCTTATCATCCTTATCTTCATCTTGCTCTTGAATTTTCGGAAGAAAATTTCTATTTACTTTTTTTGCCTTCCCATGGGTGGACATTGTCCAGTACATACTGACCATTTCAACGTTCATATGAGAGATGAGGATACGGAAAAGGTTGATGACAAAAACTGCAACTTAATCAAAAAAAAATGAGAATCATTAAATATCAGAATTGAATTGATGATGATTGTAATAAGTTAATCATTAATCAACAATAGACTAAACTGAAAAAAAATTCATTCCAATTGATTAAAACTATTATTTGCCATTACCATTTGATTTGTAAGTTAGTTGCAACTCTTTTGATTAACTGTCATTAATTGTTAATGAGATGAGTTAATTAAATATTTTCATCGTTAATTTATTCATGGGGATTGATTTTATCATTTAATGATATTGGATGATGATTCTTGAAACTCATCATGATAATATATCAAAACTATTGAGCAACATTTGAATGGTTTTGTTGATCAACATGATGACAGAAACAAACATGTGATAAAAATCACCAAGGGATGAATCAATAATGTATATTCAATAATGACAGTTACATCATCACGTTATCAATCAAAAACATTTCATGATCATCATCATGGTTATCATATGAATCTGAATCTGTTGTAACAATTTTTTTTTCTTCAAAGTTAATCGTTGAACTATCAATGATAATCACGACCGTCATATTTTTCATGTGATAAACTGATTGTCAGTTATCATTATCATCTGATATAATTATCGGAACGTTAATTTGAATTGTTTCAACGGAATTGATGATTCATTGTGATGGTAAATCATCATCATCATGGTAAACAGTTTTATCGTTATAACCAATGCAACAAAATTATCATCTCAATGATTTAGACCAGAATCGTTAAAGGTTATTAATAACATGGACAATGAATGATAATAATTGATGATGATCCTCAATGAATTGACAATAATTCAAGTTATCACCATGGTCCTGAGGTCTTCATCATCATCATCATCATGTCGATAGGCTGACAAACATTTCCGGCTTCCTGTTAACAACTTCCCATGGAAATGTAGCCAAAAGGGGACACAGAATATTATTCACAACGAATTCACAATTCGAGTCAGAACTTTTTCTTTTCCACTATTTTCGCTTCCATGGAACTTTATCTTTTTTTTTGTCTTCTTCATCTTCATCAGCAACAATATTATCAGACTTTTTTGATTCTCTTTCAAAAAAAAATATTTCTTCAGTTTCCATGGTGACATGGGTAACATTTCCGCTTCCCTAATTTACATGAGTTCAGTTCCGGTTTAATTTAGTTTTTATATTTAGAATTTTTTTTCACCATCTTTATCCTCTTTGTCTAAATTCTGATTATGATTATAATCATTCAGATCGGATACAATCAGAATTGATGATGAGGAAGATCCCATGGAAAATGAATATAACAAAAAGTTCAGTGGAGAAAAAAAAATCGACGAGAGAATAAAAAAATCAACATTGAATTAAATTCCAATCAACAATCAACAATTCAAATATTATATTTTCGCGATCATATTATCATAATAATCAATTTAAATTGTCAATGATCGATAAATGAGAAAAATCAATGAGATAATATTTATCATTCACATCGTGTAATTGAAAGTTAATCAACTTACTGATCAAATAATATCAAAGTATTAATATTTTTAATTATTATCATCTAGAGACTAATTGAAAAACTTAATTGATTTTGATAATCTTTTAATAATTAACCAAAAAAAGTTAATTAACTTCAAGGAAAATGTGAATAGATGAAGATTTCGAAAATGTAATCCTCGTTCATGAGAAGTTCATTCAGAACTTATCAGGGTTTCTTGTTGTTGTATTTCATTGAATCATCTTAATTAGTGACGATTATGGTTTAATTGTTCATTGGAAATCAACAAAGGAATAAGAAACTTTGACCATGAAAAGAGGCGAAGAAAAAAAATCAGAATTGATTCCATGAATACTCATGAAGTTCATTTTAGTTTTCAGGGGAACTTTTTTTTCAATGATACTCATTCATTCAGAACCATGAAAACAGTTCAACTGATAACAGGGGAAATACTCATGATGTTAAGAAAACAATATAACAATTGAAATTCATTTGAGAACGAAAAATATGATTAGAACTTTTTTGCTCCTTTTTAACTATTTCTTTTGTTACGAACTTTTTTCAAATATCATCATCATCATCATCATCATCATCATCATCTCTCTCTCTCTCTCTCTCTCTCTCTCTCTCTTATCATCATCAATGACATGATATCATCATTTTATTTAATTTCTCATCTTTATCATCATCTCCACCATCATGTTGTTCAGCCTCAGAACTTTTTTTTAACATCAATAGTTTATTATTATAATTACTTTGCCTTTTTGTCTTCATGATGATATTTTCATTTTCTGATGAAGATAATACTCATTTCCCTGTCAGAACTGAAACTGAATTAATAAGCTTCATGATGAATATAACAATATAACTACATGATATGAAAAAAAGCAGACTGAGAACCGGAGATTGAAATATTAATAATGATTACAATATACAAAAGTGAATAGTTTTTTTGACGATTCCCTTTTGATAGTTAACATTTAGTTAATTTAGTTAAGCGTTTTTTTTTTGTATCTATTACAAAGACTTTCAACTAAATTAATCAATCTGATTATTGATTATTAGTTATTATTATAATGGTTTGGTGAGTGAATTGTAATTCAGTTAATTGTTGATGGGGTAAAAGGATTCAAGAGTGTTGATGTTGTTGATTGATTGAGAGGAGAGAGTAACATTTGTTAATCTATTAAGGATGTTGATTAGTTAATGATGAAATTTGATTTACATTGTGATCATTGACCTGTAAGATATGATAAGGTCATAGTGATGATGATAAACATTTTGATTGTTATCATGTTTGGGTAGATGATTTTGTAAGTAAATCAGATTATCATCATCATGGTGAAAAATGAATTTAAATTCACACTGGAAGGAATGAAAAATGTTTAAATAAAAGGGTTAACAGTTTAGATTATCATGATTATGGAGATGAAGATAATAATGATGGAGATCATTTATCAGAATTTCATTGAAATGCTTTAAGATGAGATTAAAGATGATTCTTGGGTTATCATCTTCTTCTTCATCATCACCCTCTTTCTACATGAGAAAAGTTTATTATGCTGATTTCTCAACACCAACAGTTAATATCACATTCGATCGCTTTGCATGTGAGAGATCATTTTTTGTTCGTCTTCTTTTTCTTTTCTCACTGGATTTATCTTCCTTGTCTTCCTTTTCATCACTTCCATTGGAATATTGCACTTTTGTGGGTGGGAATTTGCCTCCATTCTCCTTGGTGTTGTTGCTCTTTTTTTCTCAACAGTTTATTGATAAAAACACTGAATATTATAACTTTGAAATCACTTTTTTTTCTCTCTCTCTCTCTCTCTCCTGAAGATGTGATGATCATGATGAAAATTCTGATACTCATGACTGATCTTTGACTCTTTTCTGCTGCCTCTTTGCTGCTGGATCATAATACATGAGAGTAACAATGAATCTCTCTCTCTCTCTCTTTTCATCATAATGCTTGATCTTTTTATCGGCTCTTTCTTTTCCTTCTTTCTTTTGCCACTTAACTTTCTTTATTCAAATTTTTTTAACAATATTCATCCAGTTCTTCCTGTTTCAGCCTCTTTGCTCTCTATCTCCTTGTCTCCCTTTTTTCTTGATGTTTAACTCGTTCATCTCTTCCAATGAATCGACCTTTTTTCTTCTTAAGTATCGAGGATATCTTGTTTCTCCTTCTTTTCGAATAATTTGAAAGTCAAATGTGAATATATGGTAGTGGTAGAGAATGAGAAAAGTTTCCATTGCATTACATATTCTCGGCTCTTGGGTGATGATGATGTTCACTGTATCTCCTTTAGTAGTTTGAGATGATCTTCTTTTATCTTATTCCTTTGCTTGGTGAGGTATTTTTTGGCTGTTCTTTTTTCCTCTCTCCATAATACTTTGGGTGGGAGATGATATCATTGAATACCTACAGTGAATAAGATGGAAGGTGAATTAAGAGGTTGAAGAAAGGTAACAAAGACAATAAAAGTTGATATACATTATTCAGCACTATAAGAAAATCATTGGTAAGGTGAGAAAAAATGAGTTACCATCGTCTGGAATTATTTTTTTTTCCTCTCCTGTTTTCACATATATTTCATATGGTATATTCACAATAGATTAACACTATTCGGTGAAGAACTGCTCCTTTGACACATCACTGAGACAATTCCAGAAGAAATCTCCTTATATATGGTCCATATTATCATGATAAGTTACTCTTTCATAATAGATGAGCTGACAGCAATTATCAGCTTACTCTTATTCTCATGTTGATTTACACATTAACAGATTAACCATTACTCATTTTTTTCTTTCTTTTATTACTTACATCTTCTTAAAGCAAGCCTTTAATTATTCACCAGGTAAATTTAGATAGAAATCATCTATTTGTAATACGTTACCAATATTTCAAAATGACTTCACTTTAAATCATTTCTCTCTCTCTCTCTCTCTATGAAGAGCTTGACCAAGAACGATGATAAATTTCAAGAATTTAACCAAACACCAACTTGTATTGATAAATTCATTCGCGAACTAAATTTTCTAACAAGAGTAAACACTTAATTAACTTAATTTCGAACCAAATTAACAGAAATCAAGAAGAACAAAACAATTACAAACAATAAGATTGGAAATTAATTCTAAGCGGTAAAAATTAATTCCAATTACATTAATTCGTTTCTTTTTCTACCGTTAGATGGAGTTACTGTTAGTTCTTTGGAAATTTGGTTTTTTTAATTGTTCCAATTTTCCATTGGATTAATTAAATGGATTAAAATAATTTTCATCAATTTCGACAACTTTTAAGTTACTTGTATTCATGGAAAAGTAATCCTGTTATGGTTGGAATCACGAAATTTGAAGAGGCACCAAGATATTTGCCAAGTTGTTATTTTCTTGTGTATCTTAAAAATCAGATTTTGTCAATTTATTTTTGATTGATTGAATTGGATAATATTTTTATCAATAATCATATTATTTTTTTTTTCATCTCCTTTTTTTTAAATTGTTTAACAATATAACTGTCACTGGTTTAGCACTGTAATTCTTTGAGATGAGAAAATTGCACACTCTTTTTGCAAAAAGAAAAACCAATTGAAAATGTAACTAAAACTGGTGAAGTTGATGAAACATTTTCTCCGAACTGTAACTTGGTCCGAGTAGTTTAAATTTAAATAAATTTATATGTATGTTTAGTAGTAGAAAGGAAGAGTTGAACGATCCTTAATCACCATCATGATTATTATTAAGTTGAATTGATGCTGTTGAGCTCATTAAACACGAAATGAGAGGAAGGAAAATCCAGAAAAAAAAATGATCAAAATAAGAGATCGACAACTTGGAAAATATTCTGAGCTTTTCTTTGAACGAATTAAATTGTTTGGTTGAGTTGCTGTGTTGATTTATTTTCCAAATCTTTGTTCACATTTAGTATATCGGCTGATGACACTGATAAAATCTTGTTGGATTAGTTTTCCAAAAATAGGTAAATGAATAAACTCTGTCAGCCTAATGTGCCAAGGTAAAAGACCAAAGAGACAAGGAGTTGGCCCACAGAGAATCGCTAAATCGGGATCAGGTAAATGTAATTTTGAGAATAAAAGTTGATCCACTTTTTCTGGACTAATTTGAGTGTCACAATTATCATCACCATTTGTATCTTCTAATTTTCTTCTATCCGAATCGTGTTTGATCATTTCTTTAAGAACCATTGCCATTATCGCTTTTGAATCAAGAAGTGATAATACTCTCACTTTGGAAGAGCTATAATCACAGTGGAAGATGATATTGTGCCGAGTTGAGCCTATTTAGAAAATCAAAAGAAAGAAGAAAAAAAAAGGATTAATATAAAACATCGAAAAAGTTTGAACCAAAAAATTGAGATGAGAATTGACAAAAAAAATGATTTTCTTTCCAATCATCAGCTGTATTCTTACCATTCTGTTGATCACCTCGGAATTTCAATGGATAATTTGAATTTAACTGTTGACTAATATGATTCTCAAGATCTGATAAATATGAAATTAGAAAACCTAAGAAAAAGAGAAAAGAAAGAGAATAAAGATATAAATAAATCTGAAAGAATAAAATACAAAATAGAATAGAATAGAAAAAAAAAGAAAAGAAAAGAAAAAGAAGAATGGAAACAAAATCACTTACCTTCACTATCATATAAACTTATATTATTTATCCCTAATTTTATAGACCAGGTAACAAGTGATGCTACATCATTAATGGTTAACAAATTATCATTAAAATTGACCACAAAAACAATGTGATGAGGTAATTTAATTAAATTAAATTTAAGTGAATCTAAATCACCGGTAAGGTTAACTTTACGTTGCCAAGAGAGTAACCATCGTTTAAGGAAAACAATTATAGCATAGGTAATGTGAACTAACTTATATAGAAGAGTAAAAAATAAATCAACAATTACGTTAATAAACATTGATTATGATTAATTGATAGTCCAAAAGAAAAAAAATAATAAAGAATAACAATTAATTAATCAAACAAAAAGAAGTAGAAAAATTTTCCAATCAAAGAGAAACCAAAACAAAACTACATCACCTTAACATTTTTCCTTCTTCGAACACCAGATGGAGTAACTTGTCTTCTTTTTCGCTTTTTTTGTTTACATGATTTTTGATTTTTCTGTTTCCATTTTTTAATTGTGATTGAAAAGATTTTCTCTTATTGTTATTAACTGATTTAATTTTCTTTTTCAAGCTTAATTATGGTAAGTTAATTGTTCGATTTATTGAGAGCTTGTTAATTGATTGTATGGATCATTTTTCTGTCAATTGTTTGATTGTTTTTTGTTTGTTTCTTTCTTTAGGAAGGATTGACCAATACTCTTATTCAAGTTGGTGTTGTTGGTGGAGCTCCAAAGGATCAAACTGATAAATATCGGATTATTTTGGATGAAATTATTAACAATCAGGATACTAACGAGAAAATAGAGGGTCTCAAGTTGTTCGTTAAAACTATAATCAATGAATCTGTTAGCTTGGTCATATCAAGACAATTGTTGATTGACATCGCTGTTTTGTTAACCAAATTTGAAAATGATGTTACTAAAAATATCGCTCATTTTATTTTGGATAAAGTTCAACCAAGGGTTATCTCATTTGAAGAGCAAGTTGCTGCTATTAGGCAACATTTAGCAAGTATTTATGAGAAAGAAGAACAATGGAAAGAAGCAGCTAATGTATTGGTAAGTTGACTGATTGTTTTCTAAATTGTATCCTTCCTCCTTTGTCTTTGAGATTTTCTAATGGTTATTGTTACTCATGTTTTGTTTTTCGCTCTCCTCTCAGGTTGGAATACCTTTGGAAACTGGTCAGAAACACTACACTGCTGATTATAAATTGGAAACTTATCTAAAAATTGCTCGACTTTACCTGGAAGATGAAGATCCTGTTCAAGCTGAAGCGTTTATCAATCGAGCTTCAATGTTACAAACCTCAACACAAAATGAACAGTTACAAATTCATTATAAAGTCTGTTATGCTCGAGTTCTTGATTATCGGCGAAAATTTATCGAAGCTGCTCAAAGATATAACGAACTCAGTTATAAAACGATCGTCGATGAGGTCGAAAGAATCGAATGTTTAAAGAAAGCCATGATTTGTTCCATTTTAGCTTCGGCTGGTAAGATTTTCTTTTTTCTTTTCGACGATTGTATTTATCATCATCAATATCATTAATAGAATTTGTTGATCTTCTCTAAATTTCACTTTCCTTTAGGTCAACAAAGATCTCGAATGTTAGCTAATCTTTTCAAGGATGAAAGATGTCAACAACTTCCATGTTTTAATATACTTGAGAAAATGTATCTCGATAGGATAATCAAAAGATCAGAGATGGATCAAATTTCTGAATTACTCGCCGCTCATCAAAGAGCCAAAACTGCCGATGGTTCATCAATCATGGATCGAGCAATCGTTGAACATAATTTACTTTCCGCTTCCAAACTTTACAATAATATTAAATTCGTTGAGTTAGGAGCCATTCTAGAAATTGATCCTCGTAAGGCTGAAAGAATTGCTTCTCAAATGATTACCGAAGGTCGAATGTCCGGTTCGATTGATCAAATTGCGTCCATTGTTCACTTTGAGACTCGTGAAGTTTTACCAACTTTCGATGAGCGAATTCAGGACATTTGTTTCCAGGTCAACAATTTAATCGAGAAAATTAGCCAATCATCACCTCAATGGATTGAAACAACTCTGGATGCACAAATGATTCTTTAACCAGGATAAATGGATTGAAACACTTTTTTTTAATCATTGTATAAAAACAACAAATGTCCACAATTAACAATTGAAAAAGAAACAATTTAATCAACCCGATCATCTATCCCGAAATCAAACAAAACAAAAGCAAAATATTGAGTCGAGTTGAGGGGAAAAAAGATATTATTTGTTATAACAAAGAAACGATGAGAAAGGAAAACTAATTACCTGTACAAACAACTAAGAGTCAAATTTTCCAATTCTAATCTCTTAATCACATAAATTAAGGCTTTAATTGTTGAAAACCTTACTCCTGGTATCCTTGAGGCACTTGAAATCTAATTGGAAATGAAAATTAAATAATTTATAAAAAATTGAACAGTTTTAATTGTTACAATTAGCTTACCGATGTTAGTCTTTGTTTGGATAATAATTCACGGGTAACTTTCTCTTTTTCTAGACCGGGTAACGCAAATCACTTGAGTTTTCATTTGTTTGTAGTTTCATTGGATTATCTTGAAAATAAAGTGAGACTCGAGTTGTTGCATAAGGAGATGGACAGTAAACGCTGGTTCGTTCATCTCTTTGGACAGTTTCATAAACGACTTTGAAAAATTGAGAAACGAATTATGTTCAACTAATAGTTTCATTATCAATGTTTCTTTTACCCGATTTTACACAAACGTTTCCCCACCTATTGAATGTTTATCAATCAAAATTGAGAACAAAAAATAAGAGTTAATTGCTGCTCTTTTCTGTTGAAACAATAATCTAAAAATCTGATATTTCTGATATTATCTTAACTCGAACTCGGGTTATAATCAATTGATTGTTTAAAATTGTTGCTGTTCAGTAAACTTTTGACGAGTACTGTATTTACAAATCAACATTTGAGGTATTGAACGAGAGGATAATGGTAATTATTTCCTTGGCTGATAAGTCGTTCTAAAAAGAGAAACAATCTTTGAATAATGATCTCTATCGCATGAATTGGACAAATAATCGAAATTTTAATTCACAAAAGTCCAATTACCAATTTCAGTAAGACGATACGAGTGTTTGTCAGCTCGATATTTTCAATTTTCAGCTGAATTTTTTCGGCTTAAGATTCAAGCTACATATTAAAATGGACTTAATTGTTCAGTTAATTGTGTTTGTTTAAATTAGGTTAGGTTAGGTCTTTGCTAATAAGGGTCACCATGACCAAAGAAAGGCCCGGAGGGCCTGAGACAATCAAACCGAACCTTAAGCCGATAAAAAATTCAGCTGAAAATTGAAAATATCGAGCTGACAAACACTCGTATCGTCTTACCCCAATTTCGTTCAAGATCATACCATATCAAGAGATTCATTTTAATACATAATAAAATAAATGATCTCACTAATATTCATCTCAATAATAAGAATGTTGTTGGTGGTGTAAGTTGTTATATGATAAGATTCATCAGATTACTATCATTATATATCTATCAGATTGACTCAACAAAATAAGAACTCAGATATTTGTATGAGAATTCAGTGAAAGTCACTTAGAATTGCTGTATTATTGATTAAAAGCACTTGAAAGCTAAAGTCTAATTACCTGATATCAGACCCCTACGCAAATGCAGATGATTAAACTTGGGGAATTAAATTAGATCAATCTACTCTGGAATTGTTACTCAAACGTTTAAATACGAATGGATAAAGTACAGGGTGTTTAGATTTGAACTAACAAATTTCGTTGTCTCATAATAAAAGCCACACTCTCTCGGATGGCCTAAGCATAGTATAAATATGAAAAGATGGATCTTTGTGAAGTAATCACATAGAAAGTTCAGAGGTCAAGAAGCTGTGGCGCTGGAGAAAAGCTAAAAAATCATTTCTAAAATTCATTTTTCGAGTATGAAAATGTTTTTGAGTTTAATCTAACTCTAGAAAAAGAAAGAAAATTTTGCTTTTAGACTTTTCGATTTAAACTCACGATCAGCTTGCTATTGAAGTAAAGTCTCTTAAATCAGTCATTCATTGAAAGCTTTGGCATTTTATGCGTCGAGAGTACACCTTGTATACTTTTTGAGAGTTTAGTTTCTATTCACTTAACAATTTACATTTACGTATTACAATTTCAGTTGAGTTTATTCAGAGAACTTTATTGAGACAAACAAATTGAAATTGGGAGAAAGTTGTATAAAAGGAAAAACCTTTCGATATGAAGATTAATATTAGATAATAAAATTTCCAACTGAATTAGTGACAAGTAACTTCCAACAGTTAAAATTTATATCGCTTGATACAAAAAAAACCATGGATTTCAATCTTCGTATGAATTTTATTTATTTCTTGTTCTTCATCATCATTTTCATGGGGCTTTTGTCATCTATATCCTGCCAGTTTGGTGGTCAGCAAGGACAATATGGTGGAAATTATGGTGGAGGTTATGGTGGTGGTTTTGGTGGAGGTTATGGTGGTGCTGGTGCTGGTGCTGGTGCTAGTGCTAGTGCTGGTCTTGGTGGTAATGTTGGTGCTAATGCTGGTGTCAGTTTTGGTGGTGGTCTTGGTGGTAATGTTGGTGGTATTGTTGGTGGTGCTGGTGCTGGTGCTGGTGCTGGTGCTAATGCTGGTGTCAGTTTTGGTGGTGGTCTTGGTGGTAATGTTGGTGGTATTGTTGGTGGTGCTGGTGCTGGTCTTGGTGGGGAATTATGTTGAAAGTTATGGTCGTTAGCTATCAGATTGATCCGAGCAAAGTGCACTGACTTTATGATCAAATAAATATCAAGCTAATTATCGAACTTAGACAATTTTGTAATATTTAATAACAAATGTCAGCTTAATTATATTTTAGTTTAAATTTAAACTAATTTTCACTCATTTTTAATTAATTGGAAATTGAAAAATTGAAAAAATCAAGTGATTATTTGCGACGAAGATTTGCGAGCATATCAAAGGGGGGTATTATTAATACTTTTTCCCAAATTTTGCAAAATTTAAAAAATTAAGTTTTTCGATTTTTCTAGATTATCCATAAATCAGTTGATTAATTACATTTTATTCTCTTACATCTAACTTCTATTATCTATGGCTATTTTAATGTAATAATTATAAAAATCTAACAATATTACACAGGCCTCCAAAGAATTTGCAAATTACTCATAAACGCTTAAAAATATTTATATTAATTAAACCAACTGTTAAATCAAAATTCTAAATCCCCAACCCAATTACCCTGTAAATGAGTAGTACTAACTCATGGCGTCAATTTCTAAGTTGACGAGTCTCTTTGGAGGCCTGTTGTAATGTCCAATCTTCGCGCTCTGAAACTTTCATATACAAAATAAAATGAATAAAAGTTAGGTAATTGTTTATCTCTTTCCTAATTCTAAATTGTTACTCCCACAGCTCAATATGAAAAATTGGTCGAGAAGAAAGAAGAGCAATTGATTTCCATTTGTTGTTTTACTTTTATATTGGTTGTAATCTCGTAATTCTATCCAAGTGATGAGCGAAATTTTCATGATAAAATTAAATCACAACTAAGAAATTCTATACATGCTTATGATCAGACCATCTTTTAACTAAGAGTTACAGGAAGGGAAATTACAATAAGTTCGAATTTCTGAATTACTCGCCGCTCATCAAAGAGCCAAAACTGCCGATGGTTCATCAATCATGGATCGAGCAATCGTTGAACATAATTTACTTTCCGCTTCCAAACTTTACAATAATATTAAATTCGTTGAGTTAGGAGCCATTCTAGAAATTGATCCTCGTAAGGCTGAAAGAATTGCTTCTCAAATGATTACCGAAGGTCGAATGTCCGGTTCGATTGATCAAATTGCGTCCATTGTTCACTTTGAGACTCGTGAAGTTTTACCAACTTTCGATGAGCGAATTCAGGACATTTGTTTCCAGATCAACAATTTAATCAAGAAAATTAGCCAATCATCACCTCAATGGATTGAAACAACTCTGGATGCACAAATGATTCTTTAACCAGGATAAATGGATTGAAACACTTTTTTTTAATCATTGTATAAAAACAACAAATGTCCACAATTAACAATTGATTGATATTATTTGTTATAACAAAGAAACGATGAGAAAGGAAAACTAATTACCTGTACAATTAACTAAATTGTGACCTAAATCCATCAAAAAATGTATCAAGTAATTGGAATCATCGTTAATTAATCAAATAATCTTCTAAATGAAAATGAAAATACTGATAAATTTCAATGCTGGCGGTTGTTGATGATAATCATCTTGGTGATGTTGATGTTTAACAAATTGAACACTTTAAATTGTTTAATTTGGTGAAGCAAAAATTAACCTACTATTAACAAAAGAGGATTGTTAAAGTTGGCGGTTATCGTTAATTAGTTAGAATTAATTAACCGGAAAAGAAAAGTTGTTTATCCAGTTCAACATTCATCAGAAAAAAAGACAAATTAATTTGTCTCTTTTTCCTCATCATCATCTTTTTTTTTCATTCAATTTTTACCCCAATACAATTGATTACATCACCATCGTAATTGTGAATTGATATTTGCCATTGAAACAAAATTATCAACAACTGTCTTGATTTTCAAAGTGATTAAGATCATTAGAAATTGATTAATTTGTCAACAATTAAAATGGTTTGGAAAGCAAAGGAGATTCGTGTTCCAGTCCCATATGGTTATATTGCTACCAAAGTGTGGGGTGAACGGGAGAGCGCCGATGTTACCATAGTGGCCTTACATGGATGGATGGACAATGCGTCGACCTTTGACCCTTTGATTGAAAGTTTAGAAGGAAATTATTACATAATCGCTGTTGACCTGCCGGGCCACGGGTTATCCTCACATTACCCAGCGGGTGTACCTTACAGAAACATTTCCTGGCTAATTGATTTACGTCGGATTGTTAATTATTTTAATTTGGATCGAATCACTTTTCTTGGACATTCAATGGGCGGTAATGTGGCCTTGATGTATTCCTGTGTTTACCCAGAAAAGGTTGACCGATTGATTGCTTGTGATATTTTTAAAGAGGCAACTTTCCCAACCGATTCGCTGCCCAGTGAAATGGCCGCTTCGATTCAAGTTTTCCTCGAATCCGAACAACGGCCTAAGATCGTCAAACCTTATTCGTACGATGATTGTATTGACATTCTCATCTCGACCCATTACAACGGAGCTCTGACCAAAACAATGGCCGATTATCTGTTACGTCGAGCGGCTCGAGAAACATCGGACGGTTATGTGTTCACCCGGGATCCTCGGTTAACTGCGATTGTCCACCAAAAGTATGACCTCAACTCACTAATTAAACTTTACTCTTCCTCTAAATGTGAAAAGTTTGTCATCGTTGGTAATCGAGGTACCACCAAATTAGATTCACCTGAAGCCCAGGCCATTATCGATACTCACAAAGAATCATCCAAATACTTTAAATTGATTAAAGTCTCCGGTGATCATTATCTTCACTTATCAGCGCCCATTGGAACCGCTAGACATGTTGATGCATTTATCAAGGAATCCATTTCAAGGATTAATTCATCCACACCCGATAATTAATCACATTTAATTACCTTGTAGTAGTTGTTTCAACGTTTTTTTTTGTGTTCTTATTTTCCCCTCACCCCAGCGGTTTAAATAAAATTCATTTGATTGGAATTATAAACAAAAAATTATGTTTATCAATTTTTTTTCACACTTTATCAATGTTAACTGTAGTTACTTTTTTGTTTTTGGTTAAGTTTGTTGTTATTTAAAATGATGTATTGATGAAAGTTGAGTGTTGTTGTTGTTGTTAATTAAATGATAAAAACAACATTTTCGGTAATCATGATATTATTATCATCTTGCATTCTATTGAGACAAGCATCAACTTCGGCATCAGACCAGCTATCAGGTCCATCTTTACAAAATACTTGCTTAATTGCCGTCATTGGTAAAGATTGAGCGTGACTCTTACGGAATTCATTCATCAGAATTTTCTTGAATTTTTTCAGCCGTTCGTCACTTACTTCAACTTCAATCAATGTTGTCATCCGACTGGACGAGGTTTCACCAGATGGACCGGCGACTGATTCTTCAGTTTCCATAGATTCTGATGTATCACGTTTTGCAACTTTAGATCTTGGTCTTCTTCCTTTCGATTTGGGTTCTTCTGCTTCTGCTTCTTCTTCGACAGCTTCATCTTCTTCGTCTTTCTCTTCGCTATCTTGTCTACTCTTTCGTTTGGCCGCTTTCTGTCTTTCCGAAACTGGAAGCACTTCATCCTGATCACTATCTGAGCCTGATCCATCGCCTCCATCATCATCACCACCTCGTCGTTTCTTAGGTTTATCATAAACTTTCTTGAAAATGGCAAACTGGATTAATTCAATGGCAGCATCAGCGTCACGAGCTTCAACGATACGACTCAATCTGGCTTTGGCGTGAGCTGTAGCAAGACGGATCAAAGTTTCCAATGAACGAGCTGTAACTGGTTGAGTCTGTTGGTTGAATTAGAAACAAATAGTTATTGATTTGAAAATTATGGAAAATAGACAAATTTCTTAATAATTTACGTACTTTGGCAAGGTCAGTATGCTCTTGATCGTAACTTCGAAGAGTAGTGTAGGCTTCCGAAATTTTCTCACATGCATCTTGCGTCAAAATGGGTTTCATTGACTTCGCAATGTGAATGTATTTCTTCATGAACTGAACGCTGACAATTTTTTCACTATCATGAAAAAAAGATGTAAAAAGTTAGCAACAGTTTCGGAATAATTGTAATATGATACTTACGATCTTGATCTATTGGCATGCAATAAGTTGTCATATTTTTCATAAATAGGAGTATCTCCTTCCTCTTCATCGATTGTCTCGAGATTTTTGGTTGATAGGAAATCAGCAGTTGATATAATTGGCAAAGCTAAATTGAACGAAAAGAAATAGTTTAGAAAAATATAATTTTGCAAGAATAATTAATCACTTACGTTCACCATCTTCTTCATTGGCAGCTCGATATCGGTGCATTCTAACAACATGATCAGCAATTTGAGTGTCAAGATCTCGATCGTGTTTATCAAGTAAAATGAAAAGTAAATCAAAACGAGATAAAAGTGAATCTTGAAGACCAATATTGTCCATGGGATTTTTGTACTCATCGTATCTTCCATAAACAGGGTTGGCTGCAGCGAGAACGGAGCATCGGGCATTAAGGGTAGCATGAATTCCAGCTTTACAGATAGTAACTCGACCTTGTTCCATGACTTCATGAATAGCGGTTCGATCAATATCCGACATTTTGTCAAACTCATCGATACAAACAACACCTCGATCCGCGAGAACCATGGCACCAGCTTCTAAACGTCTTTCACCAGTCTCGAAATCTGAAGTAACTGCAGCCGTTAGACCAACACCAGAAGATCCTCTACCTGTGGTTGCAATGGCTCGAGGTGCTGTGTGTAAAACGTATCGTAACATTTGAGACTTGGCAACGGAAGGATCACCAACCAGAAGAACGTTAATATCACCTCTAAGTCGGGTACCATTGGGAAGATTTTTCTCAACCCCGCCGAGTAACATACAGAGAAGAGCTTTCTTAATATACTCATGACCGTGAATGGATGGTGCAAGAGATCGAGACAGTTCTTCAAAAACATTCTTATTTCTTTGTCGGCTAAAGGTACGACATTTTTGTACATCTTCAGCTGAAATGGATGGTGCTACTTCTTTTGACATTAGTTGGATATTATTGGCCAACATGATGGTTCGAAAAGTACCACTGGAATAGTTTCCCTGTTTAGAGGGTAAACAACGGAAAACACCAACAACTTGTACTCGATCACCAGGTTTACAGGCATCAACCAAATCATTATCTGCAATGATATCAACGGAACGAGGAAGCTGACCGGCTGGTGCTTTTTCAGGCATTTCTTGAATGGTAAAGGTTTGATGATCTTTGTAAGTTGAAAGACCAAACTCAGTCTCTAGTAAATTACCATCTTCATCTTTAGTTGGATAAACGGTTGATGAGGGGAAAGCATCATAAGATGTAAGATCGGTATATTTTCTTTCCATAACTTTCTTTGTTGTAGGACAATAATGAACCGATTTGATTACTTTGGGCCTAACAAGAGAACATTTGGTAACAATACCCTCAACACAAACGATTTGCCCAAGATAAGTACTGGTTAATGTTCGAGGCGTAACATGTTTAGCACCAAAAGATCCTTCTAACCCAATGAAAAGATCTGGAACCTTTTTGAAATAATCAGGATCTAGAGAGAGGGTATAATCACGTAGAGCCCTTTCAAAAGCAACCAGCTCTTCAAAAGCATTGATCAATAATGATTTTGCTCTTTCAGGTGATTTCTTCCTCAAATCATTAATATTAACAACCAGTCTCATCTCATTGTGAGCAATCATCTCCTTAACAAGGCGACAATAAATTCCATGGTCACTCTACCCAATTCGAACATCCAACCAATCAGAAGAAAACGAAGAAGAAGAAGATAAAAATAACATAAAAGAAACCAAAAGATTAACAATTAAGAATATAAAACACAAATTAACCGGGAAAATAACACAGGCCTTAACAAAAGCAGCTACTTTTTGCTCCAACAGGAGAAGGAAAAAATAAACTCACCTCATCATCAAGAAAATCAAGATAAGCCGCATAAGGATCAGTGGTCATGATGAAGGAATAATGGATTAACTAAAAGAAGGTCTAAAAGATGAACAATTAAAAAAGCAAATCAAATTAAAGATTAAAAAATTAACGAGATCAATGAAACACTTTAAACTTTAAAAGGCAAACAAACTAATGGAGGCAAAGAAAGAACCAAGAATAAAGAAAGAAAAGAAAAGCGGGAAAAGAATAGAATTTTTTATTCTACAAAAAGATGGAGCCACTTGAGGAAAAAAAAGCTTCCATTTTTAAATTATTTTCTCATTTTAACAAATTAATCTACTAATTATTAGGTATCCTCAAAAGTTTTTGCACTTTTTTCATTGATGATTTTTTTAGTACTAGATATTAGAAGATAAAGAATTTCTTATTATTAAATTGATACTATTTTAAAGCTTAGAATTTTCTCTTTCGAATGATACTAATTTTATTAATTTCGGACAATTCAATTAATTACAATTAAATTTATAGTAATGGTGTTTTTTACCGAGTTTTGATGACTCATCATTGAGGTCACTTTTTCCGTCGGTAAAGTGACCTGAAATTTTTTTTGATATGATTAACATGTGGTCCTAATATTGAAATTATTTAGGAAAAAATTTGATCTATTTTGCTTATTAAATTGAATAGATTAGTTACCTATTCTGATGGATTAGACCCGATTTCTATCAATACCTCACCATTGAAAATTTTACCTTTTTTTTCATAAAAGGTGAAAATTGGTTCTCTATGGGGATTTAGTGTTAAATGATTAGTTAATTAAGTTTTAGTTTCTTTATAATCAAATAAGCAAAATAGATCAAATTTTTTCCTAAATAATTTCAATATTAGGACCACATGTTAATCATATCAAAATTTCAGGTCACTCTGACGGAAAAGGACCTCAATGATGAGTCATCAAAACTGGTAACACCATTACTATAAATTTAATTGTAATTAATTGAATTGTCGAAATTAATAAATTAGTATCATCGAAGAGCAAGTTCTAAGCTTTAAATGGTATCAATTTAATAATAGGAAAATGATTATCTTCTAATATCTAAGACTAAAAAAATCATCAATGAAAAGAGTGCAGAAACTTTTGAGGATACCTAATAGTTGATCGTTAATTGTTTCTCTATTTAATTTAGTAATTTCTTTGTGATTGAAATTTTTACTTTTTCGTGTTGATCATCTCTCTCTCTCTCTACCTCTCTTAAGTTGGAAGAGTATTTTGGTAAATTGGTTTGGAGATTCCAAGGTTTCACTTAATTGTTTTAATTAAATTCTTCAGTTTTTTGTTTCTTTTCTCTTCCCTTGGATTATATTTTTATATTATCATTTGTTAACATTTACTTTTGACATGGCGACATATCTAACCAAGCGAAAAGTGTTAACAATTCTATTTAGGGTAAGTGGTTAAAATTAATCTACATAAATTAACTGTTTCTTTTACTTGTATTATCGTTTTAATTGAATACCAATCATCCATTCACCTTGTCCAATACTCTGTACATTTTGTATGTGTTTGTGTCTATCTATGGGTTAGAGTAAAAAAGTGTAATCAATTGATGGAAAGGAAATTAATTTACTCAAAATACCAGAATGATAATCATCTATATTTATATAGTATTTAGCTTATGTATTAGTGAGTAATTTGTATTCAACATGTGAACCTAAAATGGTCAGTTAATCAGATCAATCATTTGATATTTTCACGTTTCTTTCTCATTTATACTTTGTGACTTTGTTTCTATAAAAATCATCATCATGGCCTCTCCCTGTGTGTTAATTGTTTTGATAATCAGTTTTCAAAATTAAATGATGAATTAGACACTAATGATACCCAGTGAAAGTAACATTTTCATGTACATAATCAACCATTGAACTTACTGATTACAACATTAGAAGATTTAATCTTTCGGATGAATGATATTGGTAAACTATTATCAACTCAATTAACCAACAAATTGGAGGCTAAGTGATTGTTATAAAAATGAAATGTCAACTTTGTCCACTAAAAAGTCATTTCAAGTTCTCATTTAGACTAATGATATAACTTTTGAATTTAAAGTTTCTCTTTTTCACATTTAACTAATTCGAATGCTAATGGAACTTTTTTTCTTCTTTTTACTTTTTCTCTCTAGATTATTTTCTCAAAGTTGATCATCATCCATTCACATTTCTCTTCCCACCCACAACCATTTCTCTCTCTCCCTCTCTCTCTTACTATTCACATTTAACCTTCTAGAATGCTACTATGGTTACCAGAACTGGAGAGAGCCATAAAATAAGCGTCCAAGTTGCACAGAATCATTTTAGTCACTCAATTTCTCCCTGTTGATAAACTACGATCAGATGAGAATCACGGAAAATATTGATAACTTGAGGTTATCACTTTATCACCTTTACCAATTAACAGTTCCCTAAGCAATCATAAGTAAATCCCTTTGGTGGTCATTCCCTAGTCATGAAATATTTCACTCTACTCTCAATAATATTCATCATCAATCAGTGTGATCTTTTAGCATCAAAGTCAACATCATCCTCATCATTTTCTGTATCAACAATAACAATAACAACCAATGACTTACTTTTAGGTAACTCTACAAGTAGTTCTGATGATAGGAACGAAACTTCAATTCCAATCGTTCGTGTCAAACGTAAAGGTACCGGGGGACGTGCTGGCGGTGGTAGAGCGGGTGGAGGCCGAGCGGGAGTGGGCGCTGCTCGAGGATTAGCTGGTAGACAGGCGGGTCGAGCCGGTAGTCGTAATAATTACTCTCAAAGAGTTAAATCATCTCATCACTTAATCTACTCATCATGGTTCATATCAATTGGATTATTATTTATTCTTAATCATCATCAGCATCCGAATAATTTTGTGAAATTGTTTTTAAAAAACAACAACAATTAACTCAATTGTTTTTTTTGTTCAACAAAAAACTTTCAGGTTGTGACACTAATTAAATCAAGGTAAGTTATGATAAACTTAGTCTTTAATTGATTGCAAATAATTAAGAAAAAAATAGATTTTCAATATTTATCAATATTTATTTTAAATTTAGCAGTTTAGATGGCAAAAGTTTCAAAATCCCTTTGATAATTTACAATTAATTGTATCGGTTATTATAATTTTTTTCATTCTATTTTAAATTCTTCTTGAAATTTATCAATAATTTAATTTTAATCATCATTATTGGCATTTTGTATGTAAAGTGAAGGTGTAAAAATACATTTAATATTATATTTTAATTTAATCAAGAGATTGGGAAAAGATAATTTAAAAAATAAATTATTAAATAATTAAATTATAATTTAGCGAGGGAAACACAGGATTTTGAAAAAAACGGTTTCATCTGATTGTTAGAAATCAGTTAAATTTTGATTGTTTTTTGTTAATTGAATGATGATGGTGATGATTTCGTTGGTAATCAAATAGAAGATGAAGTTAATTGTCCAAAATTGGTGGGATTAAATTGTTGACAAAAATGATCAATATATTAATTGCTTGGTTTTTTTCCTCATTCAAATCTTTTGGTCTGTTGATTAGTTGAATCCTTAAAACAATTAGTAAACGATTTAAATTGTTATAAGTGAAATTTTGATGAAATTAATTTCAGTTGATTGTTGTTAATCATTAGAAACTTTTTCAATATGAAAACTTTCTGATTAACTAAAGTGAATCAAATTGTTGATTGAATGTTAACAATTAGAGAAATGTAAACATTTATCTCAACAATTAACAAGGACAATTAAGTTGATATATTTTTTTAGCAAAGAAAAACAAAATGACAAAATCAAAACCCAAAATTGATAAAAGTCATAATTATACAAGAATAGAGTTAATTAATTATGGATTTAGATTAACAATTAATTCAAGTAGTAAAGTAATTAAGCAAATATTGAAGAAATTAAGTGAGAAAAATTGATTTCCTTCACTAAATCTAAATCTATTTCTCTAATTTTTTCAATCAATTTTAACAATCAAACAAAAAAGTTTGGGTAACAATCAACGATTATCTTTGATTATGATGACAGTGAATTGTGATGATGATTATCAATGATTACTTTCTGTTGATTGTCATGTAGTTGATTTTCTGATGATTGTGGGAATTGATTATCGTGACTGAGTGATAAGTATTAAAAAACAACAACAAATGATGATAAAATTAACAAGATTAGACCTTCATCATATTGAAAAGTAGGAAGATGATGATGAAAATATTGTCATCATGATGATGGTCAACAAACATCAACAAGAAAATAACAAGAGGTTAATTTTGTTGTTGTTGATCAACAAACGGAAGTTAACAGTTAATTCAATTGTTAATCATCCCAAACGTTACCACAATCAATTGATTGTGTTGATATTTCATTGTCAGAGTTTTTTTTTTCATCATCATCTTCACAAAACTTATTGATAATAATAAGTTAATTTGTAAATAATAGTTTTCTTTAACTTTGGTGGGTTCATCGTAATCAAAGGGATCTCCTTGACTAGGTCATCTCTTGTAATAATATCATTAAAATATATTGTTGTCATCAACATATTGATAATCATCATCATCGTAATCACAATTGTCATCACAATCAATAAGAAAACCTTTTTTTATCATCAATTTTGATGCAAAATTTTTTGCTTACATTCAAGTGATCATTGGATACACATAATGATGATGATTATGTGTATTAATCACTAATATCAGATGAGAAATTAAAATTCGTAGTAAATAATAAGTTGATTGTTGACAATGATCAAGTTTTTTCTTGCAAAATTTGAGTGATGATAAGTAAAAACAAAAATTATCTTTTCATTTGCAGGTAAATCGGTGAGCTGTTCATTGGTGATGATGATGATGATGATGATGAAATGGATGAGGGTGATCAAGAGACAGTTAATGGATGATTAATTAATTACAGGAAATGTTGGTTTAAATATTAAGATGAGATAATATTATTGTTTATATCGTCTTTTTTTCTTCCTGTTTTTTTGCTGTTCTTTGATGAAGATGTTAAAGTGCGAGGGTGAGAGAGAAAGAGAGAGAGGAGGAGGGAGATGATTTAATTTATTTTGATACCTAAAGAAATATTGTTAACTAAATTGATTAACTATTAATAATTCACTGATAGAGTTGTGACATTGATGAGTACATATCGATTGAAGTTTTTCTTGGTTCAGCAAATTTCCTATGATATGAACTAAATGGAGTTAAATAGGAGATTGATGTTGGTCCATAGGATGAGGGGGGAGATGATGATCTTATAACTGTTTTGGTTATTGGTGAGGGTGATGGTGATTTGTGTTGATTATGTGATTGTTTATGATTGGCAACAGAAGATGATGAAGATAAATTAGATAAAATAGAGTGACCACCAATGCTACCACTTCGAGTGGCTAATAATTTATTTGTTGGTGATGATAAAGTTGATGAAGATGATGTAGAAGAAGATGATGATTTACCACCATGGTGAAAACTTTGCTGATGATAATATGGTGAAGATGTTAATGTTGATGATGAGAAACTTTTCTTCTGTTTCTTGTACCAAAGAAGACACCAAGCCAGAATCAGGAACAATTGGACAATTAGAAACAGCGAACAGGCCAAAATTAGACCAAGAAAAGAGGCACATCCAGAGGAATCAAGGTTCCGCCGGTTAACCCGCCTTTCAGAATCAAAGGTGACACTTTCCATTATATCATTATCATCATTGGATAAATCTAATAGATCACCATTAATATCATCCGAAGATGATAATTTCTTATTCTCAGATGATGCTGAACCTTTAACTCCTCCGGTCTTCTTGTTATTTGATTTCTTTGAATCTTTATTATTGTTGAAAGTATCGACGATCTTAATTGTTTGGACAACAACCATTTCCTCTTCATCGGCTAATTTTACTTCAGATGATGATGAAGATACTGATGGTGATGATAAAGCTCGACGACGTCTTTTACCATATGAAAGGTAATCAGCTGATCGACCTTCAACTTGACCATTTGTTTCACATTGAACTGGTTCACAATTAGGTAAACATGGGGTTACCAATGCTCTAAATTGGACAACATCACTTGTTGGAAATTTAAATGCGTCAAAAATTGCCGACAAAATTTGACCTGAACCCTCAACTCGTCCCATTGGTCCCATGATACTGGCATCGGTTGGACAACCGGATGAATCGATCAACAAAATCTCTGAGGTATCAACACCATCGACGGCAACAAGTTCACGAACAAATATCTCGTATGGACCTAAAAGAAAAACGGAACAAATAATGATCACATTTAAGAGATTAATTAAAACGAAAATTAATTTCAACAATTAATATTTTTTCATCCAAAAATTATGTTAAATCAAAGGAAAATCAAAAACAAAAATGTAAAATTTACTCTGGAAACAAAATGATTTGTTAATATGATGAATTTACTGTAAAATAATTGAATCAAATTAAACAATTAATTATCCGTTAATCCGATTGTTTATCTACGGTCAAGGTTAACAATTTAACCTCACACAAGATCAAGATTGATAAATTGCTAAACAAAAACCTCGGAAGTGAAAATTAAAGATTAAGAGATTAATTAAAATGACCTAAGGTAATTAATCTTGATTTATCACCATCATCATCATCTATTGTTACAATTGTAATTGTTAAATGATGTTTACATAATCAACTGGGTGGATTTAATTGTCAACATAAAACAAAAGTCATCAAACTAAATTAGTTAACATTTAATTAGTATTGTAAAAAAACGGGTTAGAATATTTTTCAATTAGAATTAGAAAATAAAATTAAAAACCTAAATCACTAATCGGAAAACGATAATGAGTAAAGTGATTTAGTTAATTAGGAATTAGAAAATTAGTTAATTGTAATAGTTGAGAAAAGAATGAAGATTCATTTAAAAAACTAATTGGTGATGAATGGGAATAATTTCATTTTCTTCACAATTAATGTAACACTAATTGTGATCACAATTTAGATCAAAGTGAATCTTTACCGATGAAGAAAATGATTAACTACAATCATCTTCATCTTCATCTCCTTGACCATTACCATTAACAGAAAAACTGACCAATTATCATCAACAAAACACACTAATAGTTAGATAAGTTGTTAACCTGACGAAAGAAAACAAAAAGTTAATTGTTACCCAACAGAATTAACTGTAAATCAAGTCATGTGTTTGTTGTTGTTGTTTTTTGTTCAGTCTGAGAAATGGGATGAGAGAGAGAGAGACAGAGAGAGAGAGAGAGAGAGAGAGAGAGGAAAAAGGGTCATCTTTATAATGGTCAACCGTTTAAATTATTATACTAAATGGTCAGTTGACATTGAGTAGTTATAACAATTGTAAAGGGTCAGAAAAGCGAGGAAAACAAAACAACGACAGTTAAATGATGACAAGAATTAAGTGAGACTGTAATTATAATCAATGTAATTAACATTTAACTGTGATTATTACGTTCACTGAATATGGATTAAGTTGATTGTTGTCTCTCTGTTCCGGTTAACAGTTTATACGCTTTGTATCATCTCCTAATTCATTCATTTATATATTTATATGTATTTAACCTTTGTCTTGATTATTATTAGACAATTAGTTAAATCATTTACACCATTTGATTAATTATTACCTTTTCTCTTTTTGTTTTGATTATCAGAACAGTAAAACAAAAAAAAATCATTCAACTAACTAATAATCAACAGGGAGTCTGGAATTTTCATTTTTCACTTCTTTTTCTGATGATCACTCTGATTATCGTTGCTATTTACAGTTGTAGTTAGTTAATCACCGTAGCTAACAATTTAAGATGATGTTATTTACCTTGTTTTATGTGAGGAGGAAGGAAGAGCTTTTTGTTTTTGTTTTTTTTAGGAAGAGAGAGATAAAGATGATAATTATTATGAACATGGTGATGATGATGATGATAGAGACACAAGATTTGTTTAACTGTAGAACCATGAAATTGATTTAACTATGTCAGGAAAAGTAAGCTTCAGAATTAAAGGTCAACCCTAACTTGTTAGATTTTGATTGTTTCCACAATTAAATGAATATATAACCACGAGAAGGTTTATATGTACTTAATTACGGTGAAAAATTTAAGGATGAAAATAATTAAATGATCTAGTGAGAGTTATATTCATTAGAGGGTCTCTGTTGTTGTTGGCGGTGATGATGTTGATTAACTTACTTGATTTCTCTAAAACCTCAAATCGTAATGATAATGAATCACCAACATTAGCTGATTCAATCTCGTAACCTTGTTGATTGGTGATTTTCATGGTAACATTGGGAGCGGCAACTGTTGCTGAGTGAACATTATTCATCCAATCTTCCCTTGTACCAACATCATCAGCAATATCCAAAGGTGCATTGGAAATTGATCGATTGGATAGATCATAATTACAGTGGACCGATAATCCTTTATCCAGGGTAGTAACAATCATATCATGATGTTGAATAATTATATCGTTTTTAAAGGTACCAGAATTTTCTTGTTTAACATCACACATAAGATCATGATAGGGCATTGAAATCTCAAAATCAAGTGAATTTTTAACATCCGATACACAGGAATTAGGCTTTGATTTAGCATAAATTTTACCATTGAACAGTTTACTTGTTTGAACAGAAGCGACCATTTCCTTGGCTTTACATATAATTGTAACTGTAGAGAGAAAGAAAGAGACAAAAAAAAAAAAAAAGAACAAATTAAACAAAAGAGAACAAATTAGTCATTTAAGAAAAAAGAATAGAAAACACAAACCAACAAGAGATTAAAATAATTCTCAAGTTGTAATCTTCGTGTTCCATGATGATGGATCATGTTAATCATAGATTATCATGCAAACACAAGAAAACAATTAAAAAGGTTAAAATTTAAATTAAAAGAAAACCGGAAACCAAGACAATTAATAAACTCGCAAGTGTAACAATTAGTCACAAATGATTAACAACCAACGGAAAATAATAACCGGCGACTGATCATGTGACCGATTGAGCGGGTTAATTTTCTGGTTCCATTTTCGGTTTAATTGTTTACTTTAATTACGTTTTTAATTGTTTGTTGTTTCATCGTTTATTCAATTGATTTAGTTAATTTTTTCTTCTCAATTTCGCACAATTCAATGGTTTCACTGGTTGTCAATTGGTACACTGATCAAGTAAATAACATGTTACATTTAACCTCCTGGTTAACTTTTGGATTAGAAAATGATAAGTAGCCATTTTTTTTTATTCTCAATCTTTTGGATTACCTTTATTATTTTAAACGATTGATTTTCATGTTCAGTTAACTAAATTGATTAACTGTATTTTTCTGTGAACATTGATGGCTGTGTAAATAATTAAGTTATTTACAATTCTACCATCATGTAGCCTTTGTTACAATTTGTTCTCTTTCAAAAAAAGGTAAGATTAGATTTTCTTTTTTAATTTTCTAGAATTTTCTCTGCATCTTTTTTACATTTTTAAAATTCTTTTTTTGTATAATTTCTATTCTCCATTTTTTTTTGCTTTTTCTCTGATTTTATTAATACTTTCTTTTCATTTAGGATTCTTAATAAATGACGTGTAGTCCTGGTTTAGTTTTAGCAGAAATTCTGTTGATTCTCTTTGCAGTAACGATCAAAGTTCAGACTCTTGTTCAACTAACAAGGTAAGAAATATATTCTTAATGTATAATCCTAAGGATTCATCTTCTATTTAAAGATTTCCAATTTGATTGTACTATAAAACTAAATTTTCCATAAAATTTTTGTTCTTTTCCTCCTCAGACTTAACAATTCAATCAATTCAATTCAATGTTTACATGGAAGAAACAAAAAAAACAGAAAGAAAGTCTTGAATCTCTCATCTTTTCTCATTGGCATAAATTTTTACCATTGGAAAAGCATAAATTACAATTGAATGGATTCCTTAGGTAAATATTGATCTGCTATCAATGGCTTAGGATTTTATTCATCTAAATTGAATGTTAAATTGTACATGCAACAATTTATTAATATTCATTGACATCACAGTAGATAACTTTATACATGTAACTTGACAGTTTCATCTTACAAGTTAGTAAATTGTTCCACTTCCTTGATTCCTTGGGTTAACCCAAATCATTTTCAGTTTTTACAATTTTCAGAGATGAAACTAATCCATATTAAACCTTAATTTCTCGATCACCATTAATCTAATTCAAACTTTTTTTTTGCTATTTAATGTCCTTTCCTATAAGTAATCAAAATTGGCAATGATGATGAAGGATATTTACTATCATAATGATTAACAACAATAATAATAACAATAGTGGACATAATTGCAAAGACATAATCTGATGATTATTTTTACGATTAATTAATGATTAAGGTATATAAAAAAATTAAGGTTAAGGTGAGAGGGTAATGATTAATTGGTGTTTAAAATTTTCATCACTGATTAACTATTATCCAAGTTAATGAAAGTAATGCAATTAATTTTCTGTTTTTGATCAGTAAAAGTAACCAATTTATCAACAATCGATCATCGATTTGCCCTTTTATGTTAATGTTGATTAGGGTTTGATAAATTGTTGATTAAATTGTTTGCCCAATTTGTCTGGATCGGTCACACCATAACCTTAACCATGTAACCAAAATATAATAACAATATTACAATTGATTGATTGATTGATTTGATTTTTTTTCTCTCTCTCTCTCTCTCAGAAGCGACAAAAATTACGATGACACAAGAGCCCTGATTTCCTGATATCAGAATGAATTCAAATTATGTGTATTAACGTGATTTTTTATCTCATTTAAAATCATTTGGAATAATAAACAACACTAACAATGGAAAGCAAATAAAATTGTTTCCTCATATATGCCCAATAGGAGAAGGAAAATATATAAAGAAACTCATGGAAATTGGTGAGATGAAAAAGAAGAAAAGAAAATTTATTGAATGAGAATTGATGATGAGAAAGTAAACCGGAAAGAATTAAATATCAGAATGATGATAATGTGAAGTTTGTTCAGTGGTCAGTGTAAAGAAAATGAAGAGATGACAGAAGATTAAGAGATGATAGAAAAAGATTGAATCTCTTTTTTCTTCTTCTTCTCTATTCTCTCAATAAAAGTTTTCTCTTAACATGATAAGCTTTGCAACGGATCGGCGATAGTGGCCTCTAAATTTATGGGAATCAGGAAGAATTGTCTGAGCTTATCTTCATCATCTTCATTTCTCATCTATGTACTTGTGATTATATTAATGATTAACTAAAAAGCTCATAAACAAGATGATGCTAATATAAAGTTCATTACATTGAACATTCTTGGCTCATCAATTGATCAATATCTTCACACTTGAACACAATTCATGCTGATAATTCAAATTCTGATCCAATTTGATCATCACCCTAATACTAATAATCGTTTATTAGAATCTCTCTCTCTCTCTCTCTCTCTCTCTCTCTCTCTCTCTCTCTCTCTCTGACCTCAGTTAATTGTTATTATCACCTGAGAGACTAATTGCCTAACCAATTACCATTAATTACTTTGATTTATACTAATATTGTAGCAAAAAGTTTTACTTTCCCAAAAATGAGACAAAACCATGACAAAAATCATGATAATCATATTAATCCCTTTTAATTTGATTCAATTTGATTAATTATTCACAGGTAACATTGATTTATCTCGTTAATTGTTATTGAATCTCATTTTCTATCAACTGCAAATGTATTTATATATCAATATAATAATTTATTCAACCTCTCAATGAATTGATTGTTGTTGATCATTGATTCACTTCATTGATTGTTGTGGTAACAATCAAATCAATCATTGAGAATAAGAGAGAGAGAGAGAAAAAAATTAAAAGCTAATTAACACCAACCCACACACACACTCACTCACAAAACTAACAATTACTAGATATTTGCTTTCCTAATTTACTTAATTACATCAATCAACGACGATGAAGAAAAAAAAAATTAAATTTCAATTGTGATTAACTTGATTGTTGTATTACTGTTATTGTACTTGAATGGCAATAGCTTCCAGTTAATTGTTGACCTAAAAAATTAATGTTGATCAGTGATAATCATATATCCCTAGTAAAAAGCTAACAATTATCGATGACGATCAGACAATTAACTGACAGCTATTAAATATATTTTGTTAATTTAATTTTTTTCTTCACCAAACTGAAAACACTATTAACCTGATAACCTGATGATCAGTAAATTGTGTAATTGATGATAATGATAACCTTTTAACAATCAAGACTTTGAATATCAAATTCATTGATAATCAAAGTTTTTTTTTTCTTCTCATTTTCATTATCCTTAACAATCAATTTGTAAGTCCACAACAATTAAGAATCAAAGTAAATCAAGTTTTCTGCTTGATTAGTGAGCAGTGATGATGATGATAATCAATACTTTTCATTTTCATCCCTAATCACAATTATCATCAATCAATTGATTTTTTTCCCTCTCTCAAGTATATTGATTATTTGAAAGTGTGCTAACTAATTGATTTGATGTTTAACTAATACAACCAATCAATTGTTATATATAAACAATCAATTTTAATCAATCAAAATCAACTTTATCTCAATATCATAATCAACAAAATATAATAAGTTATTAAAATATTAACAATAATACAATTAAACTTAAATGATTAACTGGAAAAACTGAACCAAATCAACTGAAGATTATGATAGATTAGCAAATGATGAAGATTATCAAGTTAATCTGATTAAACGTTAAATTATCTTGGGCATTTTAATAGTGATTTAGGAATGGAAAATATTGTTTCACAATTAACTGTAAATGATTAACTTTTTTTTTATTATCTCTCTGCAAGTTACCAGTTTCTGGTTTCTTGAAATTCTCAACCATTAATGATTATGATTATTGTTATTATTTTCGTACCCAAACTGAATCAATCAATGAATTTAGGTTACCTGGTGCTGGTGTTGTCTTTATATTAATATCATCACCCACCCCGGAAGGTAGTCGGCCTGGTTACCCTTTCTCACTTTAATCATAAATAATCAAAAATAATTCAGTTTCACACCAACTCAATATTCACAGGTAACATGATAACAATAATACCAACTAATAATAAGTAATAACTTTATTTTCCTGATCAAGAGTTAATCATAATCATAATTATCTTCATCATCATCATCTTCGTCCTCTGTCATTAAAACAACAACGACACTACGATTAATTGATTGTTGTCAACGAAAGGTAAACATTAACTATTATTATTATTATTATTAACAAGTTTTAAAGTTGAAACCAAAATGAATCAGTTAATCTGATTAACTGATTTTCTCATTTTATTTTGGTTTCAGTTTTTTTTCACGATTTAACTGTTAATTATTAATTGGATTTTACAATCAATAGTTAATCAAGGTGATTATACTGGTTATATGGATTAAAAGCTTTTAATTATTAATCAACTTTTGTCTATCTGTCCAATGGTTTGAAAATTTGTTTATTTCCAATTGAAGTAACTTTTGATTCTTGATTATTATTATCATTATCATGGTGATTATGATGAGGATAATATTAACTAATGTATACGGTTCATGGAGTCCATTAAAGTCACGGTGGGATAATTTTGAGAAGAGACAGAGGAGAGAGAGAGAGAGAGAGAGAGAGAGGGGGGTGAGGTGGGCATGATGATGATGATGAACATTAATATAATAATTGACAAATTGTTACTATGACTTTGATCATCATCTTCATCTGAACCGGAATTGATTGTGAACAAGAAAACTTATTACTCTTCATTCAGATTCTCATAACTTTCCCTGAACTTTTTTCATTCATTTATTAGGTAAAAATTATCATCATCATGTGTTACCTGTATTTCTGGGGGACTTTACTTTCACAGGTAAATTAACTTCCTGAATTTTTGGTAACATGATTAAGATTATGATTTAGATTATGATATAATTGTATTGCAACTTATAATCTAACCCAAAGGCTCAACAAGTGAAATGATTAAGTTTTATCAATTGATTTGATTTTCTTAATTGTCTTGGATTAATTTGACAATTTAATCTGTCCTTTAATCATGATTAATAATATTTATCTATGTGATTTTTGTTAGTTAATCATTAACAATTTATTTTCCTCGCCATTAATCATTTGGTTTAATCACGAATTTAAACTTTATGTTTTAATTGTTTCTAATATTTAATTTTGATTGTAACTATAATTATAATCATGGTTAAGGAATTTAAATTGTACCTTTTTATTTCAATTGTTGTTGTTGTTGTTTAGTTAATTGTTTACAATTAAAACTAATTGTAACCTTGATCTTATACATTGATTAGTTTAGTTAATTGTTACTCTTTTTATTTTGTTTTGTTTTTATCATCAATCTAATTAATTAACTGATTTACTTTGGATAACAATGGGAACAATTAATCAAATTAGATTCTGATTCAAGTTTGATTAACTTTCTGGTTTCTGTTAATTGTTTACCTTTAATTGATTGTTGTCTCATTTTAAATTGGATTTAAAAGTTTCCATTGTAATCAATAAATTGTTAGAATTCATAGTGAATACTTGAAATGATTAACAGTATTTACTATTAATCACTAATTGTTGTTATTATTTTTACGTTGATATGATTAACAATCATAAATATTATCAAATGATTAACATAATAATTAATACTATTAGTTCATAAATCCTAGTTGATTAAATTATTAATTAGATTTCATCCAATCTAATTAACTATTAAAAGTAATTGCAACTACAGCCTTTCAAACAATTAGATTTTTACAATTAACTAAATAACACAAGCAATGATATTAATTGTTAACTACAGTTTCCATGTATTTGATTTGATTGTTTTTGAAAGAAACTAAATTAATCCGAAAATCTAATCTCTTGCAATCAAAGACAATTAAATCAATTATCAATTAACAATCAATGTTGATAAAATCTTGATTGATTGAATTATCCAATGAGGGAAGTTAATTGTTGGTCTGAGTTAATTAGTTAAAGGAAAATGAATTAATTATTGATTAACTTACTGTTGTAACAAGCTGATAATTCATAAGTCATTGATCCGGGAATGGTCAAGTATGGATCCTCAATATGGGTAAGAGAGGATCGGTCAAGATGTGATGTCCGGCAGACAGAGTTTGAAGGGTCACCAAGGTCAAAGGAGAAACATCTATAAGGTGAATCGAGACATTTGGCCTTACAATCGTCGACCGTTTTAACGTCAAGGTGAACATGGTCAACGGTTTTCAAGATTTTCCCTTTAATCTCCCGGAAGTCACACATTTTTTTTGGATCTAAAAATGACCATCGAAAGAGAGAGAGAGAGACAAGTAAGTTAATCACAATTGCGACTCATCTAATCAAGTTAATTATTCTCTTACCTTGAACACAATTATTTTCCAGGTAATCAATTCCTGGTGTTGATGCTGGTACAAAGTAACGATTAGCTGATTGTGTTGATGATGCTGGTGACGAACCGGAAGTAGACGATATCGTATGTCGATCCATATCGGACATTATACATTCACCTGTGTTGTTATCATAATTAACTGATCGACAGGTAAAACTGACCTCATTTAGACAAGTGGACATACACTTTTCCCTTGAATCAATGGTCAATCGTTTACGTTCAAATTTACGTAATTCATAGCCAATAACACGTTCAAATAGCCAAGGGCGATCACAGAGAGATGACCGAGTATCTAAATCGATTGATGAAAGAGTAAAAAGCTTGACCATTAGAGATTAAGAAACTCAATAATTTTCACTTGTATTAATAATTGAATTAATCACAATTCTTTACTTAAATTGTATATTATTATTACAAGAATCAAGAAATGAAAAAAACAACAAGGAAATGATTATAATCGTTAAGGTAAAGGTCAAGGTAGTTGATTATTTTATAAATACAATTATAATTATCTTGATTAACTTTCCTTTATCTTCATCTCACCTTTTCATCTTCCTCCTCCTCCTACTCCTACCTTTCCACCCCCAAGCTAATTTACCCTCAGGCCTTTAATTGTTGATTTATCATTACAAGAATAATAATTTCATGAAAACTTAACATTTACCTTTTGTTTTCATCATCATCACCATTTTTTATCATCTTTCCGGTAAGAGGAAGATGATGATTAAGCTAATTAAAGTTAAGACAACGTGATGAAGATAGTTAATCATCATCATCATCTTTTCATGTTATCATTACACTTTATTTACATATAACATTTATGGATCAATGAAAACGAGCAACATACAATTAACTCAACTGATTAATATCATTTTAATATTAACCTTTCGATAGAAATGATTAACTAAATTGTCAAACAATTGATTTAGAAAAAAAAAACAATTCGATTTGAGTGAAGACGAAATAAAAAATGAATTTTTGCCAAATTCTGGTTAATATTCTGGTTCCTAATCTCTAATCCCCTGTTACCTGTTTCACAGGTTCACACCTTTACAATGTGATTAAAATACAATTACCATGGTAAATTAAAATACCTCAAGTGATTAAGACAATTTACTAAATTGAGTGAACAACTTTGATCATCATCATGAAATAATCAAGTAACTGAATTTGTTATCGTCTTTGAGTCTCTCGAGAGTCTCTAATTGTGGGAGAAAGTCAATGAACTGAAATTAAAGAAAGAGTAGAAATTGAGAGAGAGAGAAGATACAAGATTATCATCTTGTCTTTAAGATCATCATCATCATCATCATCATCATGAGCTTCTTCATTCTTATTATCCAGAAGCATTAGAAATGAAAAAAAAGGTAACATGTAACCAAAAAAAAAGAGTAGAAAAAAATTGGTTCCGGTTTTTTTTCACCTTGATTCTGATTGGAACTTTTTTCTTAACACTAATAACAAGATAAATTATTATATTATCATGATGATTATAAATTATATATCCTTGGAACTGAATTTGTGGTGAAGAAAAAAAGTTGCAAAAAAAATAAGAGAAACTCAGACCTCTGAACCTTATCTAAAGTTCTGGATTGGAGGAAAATTTTTTATTCTTTACTCATTTTCTTTTCTAAGGAAAACTTTCATTTACAGTTAGAAATCAATGAATTACTATTGTTTTAACTTCTCTTGAAATATAACCATGAAAATCTGAGTCCATTAGTCTGAATTGAAACTCTGAACTTTCTGATAAAATTGAAAGTCTCCAATATTTGGTATTAAGTTTACTTTTCCAATGATGATGATGATGATGATAATTATCATGAATTTATTTATACATATGATTGAGTGAATTTGTTGATGATAAAATTGAATTTAAAGTGAAAAATGAGTTATATTTGTATAAACTAGGAAGCATTTTCATGATGATTTAATAATAATAATCATGATTAACTTGGTTAGTGAAGTAAATCATTAAACTTTGATCGTAAATTTGTTTTCATGATGAATTTAAACAAAGATAAACTGTTACAATATATGATTACCTTTGCAAATTACATTATTTTCATGATGATGATGGTGAAATTCATGAAGCAAGAAACTGTGTTGATGGGAATAAACTGAATAGAAATGAAGTTTTCTATCACTTTTCATCTAATGTTATTTCAATGATAACCAAACGGTTTGCGGTTTTTTTCCCGTTGACCAACAGAAAAACCATCATGGGAACTACATCATCATTATCATCATGTGGTCAGCAACCAATAAATCACAAACAATCAACAAAAACACACACACACAATGATGGTTGTGATGATTTACTGTCACAGATTAACAACAATCATAAACAACCAGCAAACTTTTGGGTTACTTTATCTGTGAAAAGACCCACCAAATTTCAATAATTTTTGTAATAAAGGGAAGTTGAAATTCATCATCCTCATCATCATCTTCATCTTCATCTTCATCTGAAGACCTCACCCTGAATTCATTTCATATTTACCTGAATAAACAAAGTTTCATAATAATGAAAATATACAAACATGTTTATGTTAATTTCCCAGGTAAATATTATCTTCCTCATCTCAATTATTATCATCATGGTTATTATATATTACATGTTAACATGAACAATTAACATGTGATAATCATTATAATCACTTAATCAGTTGAAATTACTTGTTTACGATCAACAATAACACCAACCAAATCATTTTAAATTGTTGCAATTAACTTTACACTCAAGATTAAGATTATTATTATTATTTTTATTTTCTTACAAGTTGAAAAGTGCAAACATTTAAATTGTTAGCTAATTAAATTCATTGAAATTGATTCAATTAACTTTCTCAACTGATTATTTATTTGGTCTATGTGTATAAATCATTGATTTCATCAGTTAATTAGGTGTTAATTACTTTCAATTTAGTCTAGTTGCTCATTTAATAGATACGAAAATCTGTTAAATCAATCGTTAACTTTTTTTTTGTAACTTCTTTTAATTATTGCGATTAAATTGTTTCAATGTAATTTATTTAACCATTCAAGCTAAATAACACAATTTACTGATTGTTATATCATTGAATTTAAACACTTTGCGGTTAAATAAATTAACTTAATCATTAGTTTAGGGAAAAAAAGTTTCACCAACTAATGGATTGAGATTCATTCATATGGTAACATGAATTTCAAATTTAACAAAAAAAAATACATTGAAATTAACCAACAATTTAAATTATCCTTTTCAATTTGAAACGGTTCAGTGTTAATATCATCATCATCATCATCATCATCATCATCATCATCATCATCATGAAGATACAAGGATGATAATGATATTGAAACTGGTTGGATAAGCTCAAAGTTACAAGATGTATCTTTATCGTGATAGCAATTGAATTGATAGTGTTAATGTGATTAGGATTTAATTTAATTGTCAATGAGAATCAAACACTTTTGATTATCCAATTAAATCATCAGGTTGTTGTTGTTTTTTCATTATTTGACATTTTCTAATCAATATGTTGATATATCAATAGATTTTTTTCTTGAATATCGATAATTAGTAGTTGTAATTAGTTAATCATTTACCTGGGATGCAAACTTTTTGTGCATAAATTGTGAACACTGGGAATTGCGAAGTGGTCAGTGCCGATGGGTGAGTCTGAGCCGATGAAGTTAATATAATACAAAGTCCAGTTTCAAAGTTAATTGCTTTACAAGTTTCACTACGATTACAATAAGCAATACAATCATTTAATTGTAAGGTTCCAGGGACCATGGTCATTGTTTCGGAAGGTGAAGTGAATACATGTCCAGTAATCAATTCAAATCGCCATTGACCATCAGCACAATCTATTCAAGAGTAGAAGAGAGAGAGAGAGAGAGAGAGAGAGAGAGAGAGAGAGAGAGATCAGTTACTATTATTATTTACACGGAAATTTCGTTGAACAATTAATTCTGAATAACATTTATATTGTCTTGTTAGTTTTTTTCAGTCGTTTCAAGGGGAAAACACTGACCCAACTTGTTAACGTTTTCTTAACCCACCGGGGGTATAATTAAGGAGAGAATTGGAAAACTTGAATGGGTGAAACAATAAGAGATGAGGTGAGATTGGAGGTGGTGAAAACTTGCGCTTCAATGAAACACTTTCATGTTTGTTTCACTTTCTTGACACAAGTTGACCTTATTGATTGTGATGGTGAAGGGAAGGGGTGGAGTGGAAAAGGATAAGACTCACAGGGTGATAATCATGATTATCTACATGAAGAAACATTTAGGGTTCCTAAGGTTTTTTTTCCCTTAATTTCTTGAAGCTCTGAGAGATATTAACTCAACCAGATACAAGAAACCAAGTTAGCACGCATCAAATTGTATCAGGTGAGTGCCAAAAAGACAAGCTGATGATGAAGATGAAGATGATGGTGGTGGTAAAAAGTTATATGAGCTTGGATCAAGTTAACAAATCGCCTTAGGGCCAATAAGAAAGTAGCTAAAGTAAAAATATACTGAGAAAGCGGAAGAAAGTTTTTCTCTTTACTTTTTTTTGCTTTCCAAACAATTTTAACATTCTTACAACATTAACATTAAACTGACCAATTGAATGTCCAGTAAACAAGATAAATAACTGATCATCATCATCATTGACCTGTCACCTTTGCCCTTGGATTAAAAATTTTCATCTTCTTCCTATTAACTTTACCTATCATTCACTTGTTTGTATTATTATTTTATGTTTATCAAGGTCAGTTGGGGTCAGTTTGAATTCATTATTAGCCTAAGGATTAACGGGATTTTTGTACTAATACTTGACCACTGGGATTAAGTTGTTGTTTATTTCAATTGATAAATCAATAATTACCTTTAGTTACGTTATTGGTTTGTCCAGTAGTTAATGTCAATGACCACAATAGATTGATTAAAATCACATTGAAATAACACTTGATAATCATTGTTGATAATTTGATAGTAACAATTTAAATCTCAATTGCGTTTTAATTTTGATTTTTTAGCTCTTGTCTTTTGTTTTCTTGTTGATTTCTAACTGTTTCTTGATAGCAATTTATTAATCAATAACTTATCACTTCACTGATGATGATGGTGGTGGTGGTGGTGGTCAATTGTGATTCCTGATAAATAATATCATTGAATTTTGATTATGATTAAATGTTGAAATGGAAACTGTTAATTGTTGTTGTCTTTTTAAAACATTGATTTACTTTAATGAAAAACTGAATACACACCAAACTGTTAGATGATAAACTTTAACATATTCACAAGTTGTGATTATGATTGTGATGATCCTGTAAATTAATAACAATCAAATTTGATCACAGAACAACAATCAACTGATTCTCACTTCGGTAAAACTTAAACTAAAGTTACTTCGTTCATTCATCTAATCACTAAAACATAAGATGATGATGAGAGAGAGAGGAAGAGGGAGACAGGGGCTGGAAGATGATGAGTAGCTCAGGTAAGGGGGCTTCGGAAGCGGGTTACAAGAAGATGAGAAAGAGAAGAGAGAAAGAGAGATGATGATGAAGATGAAGATAAGAGGGGCAGATGAACCCACCTTCTTACAGGGTAGGAGAGAGAGAGAGAAGTAGTTAAGAGAAGACAGAAAAACTCTCATCATCTTCATCTTCATCTTGATCCATGATACGAACAAGATATTATCATGAAGAAAAATTTTCTCTCTCATTTCATTTGATTTCGAATATGAATTTTTTTTTTTAAATCATCAACTCTTTTTAATAACTCACCTTGATTGTAACAATTTAACTAATCACACTCATTTAATAACTTGATCATTTATGTTCATTAAATTGTCATCGACATTAATCAACTCATTTTATAACAACAATTTAAACTAATTGTATTCACCAAATTAATACAAGAAAGTTGATTGTTTTTTCTGTCTCAAAGAATCAAGATTAAACTAATCAATTGTTGCTCTTGTTAAATGTCAACTTATAATATTATGATTGATTAACAAGAAATTGTTTAATTAACGTAATTATATTATTGTATTAATGCATATACACAAATACAATTAACTGAAACAGTCAACAATTAACAATTTAAACACAATGTCCGTGACCTTGCAAATACTCAATTTACATTGTAAACATTTAGAAAGAGAGAGAATTTTTTTCAACAATTTAATTTCTGTTAGCAATTAGTAAATATAATCACTTATATAAAGGTCAACAATTTATTGATTGTGTTACTATTAATATACTTCCGATGCATACTAATAACAATAAAACTAATCAATAATATATGAGAAAGATGATGATGATGACCAATCTAATTAATTGTCGATGGTCAAGATTCCAGCCTTCAGTTGATATAAATTATTAAAAAGCATCATAATAATACTGCTACTATATTGTGACAATAAGATGATTATGATTGTTGATTGTGATGTAAATTGAAGGCACAATTAACAGTCTAATTGTTTAATATAGTCTAATAGATGTTGCCCTCAATATCTTAATCTAAATCTCATCGTTGGACACTAAATGATTATGATTACTGTTGATGATGATGGTGACGATTATTATCAAGATAATGATGATGATGATAATAAATATGACAGAGTGGATGATTATTAAACTTGGAAGATTAAAAAAAAAGTTTGTAAGGTTATGCTACAGGAAATTTTTACTCTTGACCATTACCTTGGACTCTTCATTGACCCTTCGAGAGTGAGAGGGGGATGAAGATGAAGATGACAATTTCTCAAGACCTAATTTCCTTTTCTCACCTCTAATCATCATCATCATCATCATCCTCTCTCTCTCTCTCTCTCTCTCTCTCTCTCTCTCTCTTATCTGAACAACCTTCATCATTGCAAGTAGTTGTTGTTGTTGTTGTTGTTTGATTGTTTGTTTACTAAAAAAAAATCCTGGTGACAACAAGTGATGACAGAGGATGATTAAGATGACATATTATACCTTTGACAATTTACTATTGACCCAGATAAAAGTTATGAAGACAGTAAATGATGATAACGATGATGATGGTGATGAAAATTAATCTCTTACTCTCTCAACCCAATGAATCCTTATCATTAGTTTCCATGATTAACTAATTAGTCTCATCATTAGAAACTTTAATGAATAAATGATTACATTCACTGCTATTTTAATAGTAATATATATTTGAACACAATATAATCTTCATGTAACAATCATCAGAAAATGATAAAACCATCATGATGATGATCACCTAGGGAAGATGATGATGATGGTGATGATAATCAACTTGATGACCTTGAAAAATTAAACATGACATTGAACAGGGAGGTAACATTATTTAAACACAACATCTTATATCATGTCAATGTCACAATTAAAAAAGTTAATCAGTTGTTGATCTATATTTTTTTCCCGTTAACTAAATCAATATATAAATAAACATACACAAATATATTTACCTGGACAGGTAATTAGTATATATAAAAAACACAATAACATGTGATTAAAATTTAAATGCAATAAAATCAACATTTGAAAAGTTAAAACAACAATAAACAAATATCAAGATCCATTAACACATATCAAGGTGAGTTAAAAGTATATCAACAATCAACATAATCAAAAACAACAACAACAACAATTTAAATTGCTGTTTATTATTGTATCTTGATACTCTAGGTACAGGTAAGTATTTACAAAGTAAAAAAAAAAAGTTTTGTGAAAAAAAAACTTGACCAAGTTGACAAATTTATCGTTAACCTTTTGGATTATGATTATGATTATGATGATGATGATATTACTATGGTGGTCGTTGGGTTGATAATGAAGATGAGGATGAGGATGAAGATGAAGATGATGAAAGATTTAGTATTCAGGTTAACCTTAAGTTGATGTAACTTAATTATGTTTCCAAGTTAATCAGTGGTCTGAGATATTGTATCAATATCATGGCCTAGAAGATGATCTTGTTGATGGAAAAGGTTAGTTTATCATCTTATTCATCATCATCATCATCATCATCTCATCACCTTTTTCGTACCAATTACACATAAATCTTATCATCATAGTGTTCAACCAAAGGGATAGTTGAGTAAATCAAGGTGGTGGTGGTGGAGGATTGAACATGATGTAATATATTAATTGCATGGTAATGATGATGAAGATGATGATGTTAACCTGATTGAAAAGATGAAAGAAAAAATTTTTCTTTTTTTTTCATCATCTTCCTCTTCATCATCATCACTAGGTTATCATGTAATCAACTTACCTGTTGCCAAACCATTAGGTTTAATCATAATGATAACCTGGTATATGATGATGCTGATGATGATGATCAGGATGATGTGGGGGAGGATTACATTTAATGAATCATTTCCCTCTCCCCATCACCACTTACCTTGATTTCAGGAGTTCATGTTGTGGTTTATGATGATTGTCTTTATGTGGTCAGTATCATTGGGCTAGAAATTTTCAGGTTAGTTTAACAATTTTAATTTTCTTACCTGTATCTGGGTCTTAATTCAGTTCTGATAATATCTAATCATCTGATTGACGATACCTTGGTGCCGATAACTTATCATCATCATCATGATTACCTGTATTAACTAGTTACAGGGTATTAGGTGATCTGGTAAATATAATGATAACTGTTTTCAAACACTTCAATTATAAAAACTTTTTTTTTCTCAACTTTAATAACTGAGATTTGAAATTACATCAAGATGATTAGTTGATCATGATGATGATGATGATAATGATGATGGTAGTGTTGGTGATTAAGTTGATTATCTTGAAACAGTTTTTGTCTCAAACAAAGTAACAAAGTTAATTACAATCTAATGACATTTCTCCCCCTTTCTTTTTTAACCATAACAATCTAATTGCAATATTATAACAATGATTGACCAATGGTCAAGTTGTTGACTGTCACAATGTAAAGATCATCATGTTAATTATTTAGATTTTGATGACAATTCAAATGAAACTTAATCGAAATTTAGAGAAAATTTGTATAATACAAGAAAACAATGACCATTTACTACAATTAACTTTTCTTGACCGCAAATAAAATGACCAATGTCTATGAATATGTAGACCACATGATCTTCATCTTATCATCTTAACCCTCTCTCTCTCTCTCTCTCATCAATTTTTCTTAATCATCATATTTCCTGGATGATCAGTTGCCGCTCACTGTTACGATTCATCTTATTTAAGATCAACATTGACACGCGATCGTTTTACAGGTCACTTTTTTCATCTTTTAAAACATTGTTGTTATTAGCTGATCATCATCATCATCGGCATCATCATCATCATTTCCTGTAAAAATTATGATGATGATGAAATATCTGTATTATTTTTGCTACTTTGGTTCAATGAGATTTGTGTTTTTTTCATCGCCATCAAAGTAACCAGGTAATTCAACAAGTGTAACAGTTTTAAACGGTAGTATATCATGATATTAATATGTTATTGATGATAAAGATGAGAGAGATGAGAGAGAGAGAGATAATTCTGATCTCTATTCTGTATAATATCTTCATGTCAGTCAATATAATCATCATTTGATTGACACTTGTATTTAACGGTATCAATACGATTCATTAGTAGGTTTAAATCATTGATTGGAGTCTATGATGATGATGATGATCAATATGATGACATTGGGAAAGAAAAATGATCAAGTTTAATATCAATATACTTTCATGAGATGATGAGGAGAGAGAAAAAAAAAACATTGACAGATCTAGATTGATCTTGATCACTTCCTGTCTTCATAATCAACATCATGTTAATACACTTCCCAGACTCAGCTCAATATGAGATCAAGAACGAAGTTGAATCTCTCTATCAGTTCATTTTGTTTCTATTTCGCAATAATGATGAGCACCATGATGATATCCAAATGTACTCCTGATAAGCATGACGATGATGATGATGATAAACTTGAAACTTTTCTTGGTGAATGTCTAGTCAAAGTGAACCAGAAATTTTCATGATTCTCCCCTGAGTAGGTCAGAACTTTTTTTTTGTTAGAAACAAAAGTTTTACCTGTTTGAAAACAGTAAGAATCTGAAGAGGAAAATTTTCTAGGTGTGGTTATCATATATTAATACATGTTAAACTAACCAATTGAACTGTTTAAACAATTTAACACAATTTACCAACAATTTAACTTGGAAACAACAATCAAGAGTAACGGGAATCGGATTGGAAACCTAATTTCAAATCAACATGATTAATATAATTTGTGCGCCAGTTTTTCAAATTGAAAGACAATTAAACATTCATCTTAATTGTATAATTAAAAAGGTGCTGGAAAGATTTACAAAATGATGAATGATAATTGGTGATTATAAAAAGATGAAGATGATAATTGT